CACACCACAAGGAGAGAGACTGGTTGCTTTCTTGTGGCTTATTCTGTAAGGTTGAACACTTTTCAAGTCCTGACAGGCCTTAGCTACCTCACGTGACACTGAGACTGGCAAATGAAACCCATATGTGGTGGCTGGTGTGTATTTATATTGGCTGATGGGGCCTGGGCCTAGAGCAGGTGGGGCAGAACATACAAAAGGAGACCAACCTTTGCCTCACATCTCAACACAAGTCTCCATGGTCACTTGGCTGAACAGACTGCTATTCAAACAAGGAAGCATTTCAGAGGTGGGTTTGGGGAATTAGTATAGCTTTATTGATGGATGGATTAAAGGATTCAATTGATTGTCATTTTAGGCCACCTTTCTCCTGATGAAGGGAATTTATGTCTCAGGCTACAATGTTAGGCAGCTTATGAACCCATCTTGTTCTGCACATCTGTTCTGCACACAATCTCTTACTCGTGTATTCTGCTTCTCACAACAAAGTGCAGAGGAGACATCTAATGTCACTCCACAACTGTGGCCTGCTTTAAACAGTTCCAATCTCTATGGATGGATGGATGGATGGATTTAGGATATTTATATTCTTGTTTTTAATGTTAGCAAAGTTCTTAACATGACTTACAGTTACACTACCTAATACTGTATAGACGGTATAACATTAGAGTTGCAATCTGGTGTTCATTTAGGGGTAAGCATAATTTTAAAATTATTTTTGTAGTCTTTAAAAGAACGCAAAAAGAGTTTGAACAATATAAGAAAATAACCTGTATCCTAAAAATACCCCGTTTCCCCAAAAATAAGATCTAATCTGAAAATAAGCCCTAGTATGATTTTTCAGGATGCTCATAATATCAGATCTACCCCCCCATAAATAAGCCCCAGTGAAGTGAAACCCCACCCTCCACCATTGTGCAGCAGCCAGAAGAAGATGACAGGACTGCATTTGAATAAATGTTGATCATTATAATGAAAAAATAAAATAAAACATCCCCTGAAAATAAGCCCTAATGCATTTTTGGATCAAAAATTAATATAAGACCCTGTCTTATTTTGGGGGAAACACGGTAGTTTGTCTGGAATTGCTGGACAGCTCAGTGGTTTAGGTCTCTGGCTGCAGAACCAGACGATGGGAGTTCTATCCCACATGGTGCCTCTTTGATAAGGGCTGAACTTGATGATTCATAGAGTCCCTTCCAGCTCCGCAGTTCTTAAGATGATGTTGATGTAATGGGTTTAACTCCAGAATCATCCAATCTGTTATTTATAGAATGACAGGATCCTCTTTCAGTTCCTTCCACACCTACACTATGCTCCCAAATCCCAGAATGCTTGAATTATTCATTTGTTTACTAGTTTAATTAACAGGTTAGTGGGCACACCGCTCAGTGTTAGAGCACCTGCTTTGCATACAGAAGAGCCCAGTCCTAATCTCTGGCATCTCCAAGCAGGGTTAAGAAAGAATCCTTGCCAAATCTCTGGAAAGCTACTGCCAGTCAGAGTTGACAATACTGGGCTTATACCAAAAGGTATCTTCCAATGTTCCAGTTGACAAAGTGGGTGGCGTGAGGGGTAGAAGAAAACAGCAGGACAAATATGGACCTTTCTGAGATTCTTCACCAGTAGCTTCAAGAAAGAAGATGATTCACTCAGCAAACAGAACTCAGAAGAAGTTTAGAATGCACCAAAAATCTTCAAACTTATACCTCTGATCTGGTTTAAGCAGACCAGGGCCTGTCCAGACAGAGGAATTTGGAACAGAGTTTATTCTCCTGTGAGAAGGGTCCACCATGAGTAAGGAAATAGGAACCTTCAAAGCTTTTGAAATTAGAAGGACATGATCTGAAATGGGGCCATCACGCATTTCTGTGGTACAATAGAACACAGGATTTTAAGCAGTTCAAGAACCACACACTGAGGAAAGCACCTTTATGGACATGGAATAAAGTAAAGAACGAGATGTACAGGAAAATTCCACACTGGGTGACGCCAATTGAGGTGTTTGCCCTCCCCAATAGTAAAATACAGCAAAATCTTAAATTTTGATGACTCTCTCAAAACCCAACAAGAACTAGTGGATCAAGGAGTTGAAATGGACTGGTGGGCTCAATCTCAGTTATCATCACGATTTGCTAAAGATAAACAATAAAGCTTCTACTTAGAAAATACACCCTTTGATAGAATCTTTCTAGAGACAGAGGGAAAACATATTAAGTTATTGTATTTCTGTTAGATTTTGATACACAGGAGGTAGTTGTGAAATCTAGTATGATTAAATGGGAACAGACTGTTGGGCACAATATAGAACTAGAACAATGGGAACTAATATGGAAAATGAATATAAAATTAACTAAATCTGTTACATTTAAAGAGAATATTTACAAATGTGTTATAGATGGCATATGACACCCATAACTGTAGCTAAAATGAATGCCCAAATATCAAATTTATGTTGGAAGTGTAAACAGTAGAAAGGTTCATTCTATCACATGTGGTGGATTTGTAAAAAAGCACAAAGATATTGGAACAAAGTGAGGCTGTTACAAGAGGTTCTTAAAAGTCCAGGTCCTATGAAACCCGAATTATTTTTATCAAATATTTTGCCGGACTCAATGGACCTTGCAAAAACATACTTAGGAATTCATATTATAACAGCTGCAAGAATGGTTTTTGCAAAACACTGGAAAGAGCCTGAAATACCACAAATAGAGGAACTGATAGTGAAAATTTTTGAAATTGCAGAAATGGATAAATTATCAGAATGGCTAGGTGAAACAAGGAAAAAGAACCACCAGAAATGTTGGGGAAAACTATATGTATGGTTGCAAAATAGAAAGAGCAACTGATAAAATAAAAATATAGACAGTCATGTAGCTAATGATTAGATTAACACTGAGTATGTCTGAATTGGATTATGTAACATATTGAAAGTATAATTTGAATTAATCGTATACTATATGGGAAATATATTAATTGCTTGTAAGGTACTTTTTCAATCTCACTCCATTTTTCTCTTTATCCCCATGGTTCCCCATTGTTACCGTTGTAAGGTATTTTTTCAGTCCCACTCCCTTTTTATCTTTATCCCCATGGTTCCCCATTGTTACCTTCCATTCCTTACCCTGACATGAAAATTAAAACTTTGCAAAAAAGAAAAAAAAGAAGAAAAAAGAGTAAGGAAAAAGCAGCAGCAGCAACTGAGGACAGCACAAGTCTGAGGGGAAAACGTTGAGGTGAAGGTTGTGGAGGTGGAAGACAGGTAACCCATTCTTTTCCTTTCCTTTCTTCTCAGCCAAGGCTCTGCTGGGGCTCTGCTATCTTGTGGGGGCAGAGACCACTGAGCCAACATAGCCCCCTTCCCCAACTTTTCTCACAGCTATCATTCAGCCAGCTGCAGTGCCCCCCCCCTCTTTTGACAAGTCAAAACAGCAATGCTTCAACCCAGCAAGATATTAGAATTGTATGTGGGGAATTTTGTTTCAAAAGACAAAAATAGAGGAGGGTGTTTCTCCATCCATCCTCCTGGTGTCACAACCCACCTAATACGTCATCTCAGATAATACCACCTAATGCTCATATGGATGCAAAATAACCATCCGAACAGGCTACACAATGGGATATTTAGGAGTGCACTGAATCGTGCTGAAAAACCAGAACCCCTAGAGTTGTGCCACAAAGGAGCAGAAGAACTCTTAAAGGAGCAGGATGAATCCATCTAAGTAGAAACATGTGTGGACACTGAAATTTGGTTCAAACAACACCATAAGAACAGTAATACAAACAGTGGTCTACAATATATGGTCTACAATATATACCCATCTGGACAGCCCTGAGATAGCAAGGTGTTTTCCTCCTTGTGTCACTCAGTGGAAAGCAATGGGAGGGTCTGCACATATATAAGCTGCTTAGAGAATTTTGGTGGCTACAGCAGAGGATTGCCCCCCTCCCCTGTATTAAACCAATCAGGCATTTCAGCCCTGTCTGGCATGCCCTGAAAATACACAATCTCTTTTGAGGCTATGTGTCCCCTTTCGGCGTTGATTGCTACAGATTACCTGCTTTCTGGTGGTTCTGTGCAAGGACCAGGCTATCCTACAATTGTAACCTTTACCCACTAGTCTTTGGTTTACGTATTTTTGAGCTCTGGTGAAACCTTATTATTTAATCCCAAAGAAAGGCTTGTTTCTTTTCACAAAACAATTGGCCCAAACAGTGACTGTGCATTTTGAATGGCATGGGCTAAGCAGGTATCGTGTCTAAAATCCAGGCCAAACATGCCTAACCAGGTAAAGTGGTAACCCTACCTCATGAGCCATACTGAGGGTACTTCCAGAAGGACAGCTCCCAACAATACCCTGCAATACTGATGTCATCATTCTTTCCCTTAATAATAAGAAAAAAGATGGAAGAGGCAATAGGGAAACATAGCAGGAAGGACATTCTGGACTACCCATAAAGTAAAGTAAATGAGGCTAGTTGATTGCCCAATAAAAGCCTTTTCTGGTGGCACCCACATTCTGCCACCGTACGTATGCTGTACTCTAGCATCAAAGAACAAGGAGAGTTCAAAACAAAATACATATTTTAAAAAGCCAGGATGTTGTAGTGGATGGAGTGTTTGACTGGGACTTCAGAAACACAAATTCTAGCCCTCACAGCCAAGAAACAGACTGGGTAACGTTGGGCCAGTCACTGTCTATCTGACTTACCCTGTAGTGGGGAGAAGAGGAAAGCCACATACATTGACAGGATATAAATGTATAAACAAGCCTTCTGGAGACCTTTCCTGCCCTTTGATCCCATGCATGTCAGGGCTTGGATATGGAACTGTTTGGTGTAACCAAGGCCCTTACAAGCCTAGCTCAGCTGTTTCACTATTGAATATTTGTTAGTCCTGGATGTAACCCAGTAACCATTCAGAAAAAAAAAGCCAGCCCTGTGTCCGTCTCTAACAACAAAAAGTCTTCTTCTACCTTGGAGATAGGCTTTGGAATGCTATAAAAAGCAGCCAGTTCAGACAACACCTTCATCGCCATTCTTCTTCCTCGGAATTCCTTGCTGCCAGATTGAAGACATTCTGCAAGATGGTGAGTATTTTTCTTACTTGGACTTTTTAGTTACCCTAGAGGAGGGAGGAAGCCTCAGTTCTGGTCTCTACAGTGATCAGGTCCACAATGTTTTCCTTGTTTAAACATAAAAGTGTCATCCTTGAGCCCATCGCTCGAAACACAGATACACTTAGAGCTCTAGCAAGGATACAAGATGCAGAAGAAAGAGGAAAGGCAGAACCAAAGCTACTGATGATGGAGGAACTGTTAATTAGGGGTGTTTGTTCCTCAGACTCTTGATCCATCTGGCCTAATACTCCAGCGCTACCTGTAGATGCCAGGGACTGGGCTTAGCACCTTTTACATGACATGCAAAGTGGCAATTCTGCCATTGAGCTTTGCTCCCTTCTTATAACTGGCTAAGGGATCACTGGAGTTGTGACCCAACACATCTGGAGAGCACCAGATTGTGAAGAGTTGCTGTTCTTGATAGAGTGCTGGGGTTGATAGGCTGGGTACTAATCTCCACCTTGGGTTAGCAACTCAGAGGATGGCTTTAAATCAGATCCCTATTTCTCCAGCTGGTTCTAAACACATGTTTTTAAAGGCGTTCAGCACTGTCTCAGTACTGTTGTGGAAGGTGGTAAGAAGCATTGGCTTACTGAAGCCCTGCACGCCAGTAGCTTCTACGTGGTCTCTTGATATTTAGCGATAAATCTTCTCTCTATATAAATAGGAAAGAAACGGCAGTAAATGATCCTACACTGTTCTGAGCAACTTGAGGAGTGGCATGGCATCCATGTGTAAAAAAAACTAAAAATGAAGTTGCATGTCCTGGAAAATCTGGCTCATGGCTTTTTCTCCATGTCATGTTACCTTAATCATGCTGCTGAAAACAGTTGTATTGAGCATTCAGACTGTGTGGAGCTTACTGGGAGAGGGAGCTGGTAATAAGTTTTCCCTTAAGGTGAGAGAAGGGTCATGGCATGATACACTAGCTGAGATCCTGTTGCTTTAACTTAAAATCATTCCAGCACGTATGATTTTTGGAAATTAAAGATTCTCCCCCTGCTATCCTGTGGCTCCCAACAGCTTCCTTGTGTTGAAAGGGATCCCAAAGGAGCCTCATGACCTAAAGGGGGAATGTTATTTTTTTAAATTTTGAAACACCTCAGTGACTGATGACATCACCAGCCTTATGTGGCATATGTTAAAGCAACAGGATTTTGGCCAGTAACTTGGAAGGCACATCAAAGGTCATCTAGTCCAGTAGTTCACCGATGCAATAAGTCCACTGTCACAGTATCCTTGATAGGTGTCCATCCAAGCTCTTCTTGAAAGACTATAAAGCAGTGGATCTTAACCTTCAGGTCCCCAGCTATGGTTGGACTACAGCTTCCAGAATCCCTTTCTATTAGCCATCCTGGCTGAAGCTACCAAGAACTGAAGTCCAGCAATATCTGGGGAATCACAGGTTGGAAAGCATTGTCCTAAAGAATAAAGTCTACCAGTTTCTAAAGCAGCCTCTCCCCAGTTTAAGAACCCGAGTTGTTCAAATGTTTCATTGAAATCCTTTTTATAATGTGAAAACATTTGTTTTGTGTCTTTCACCCAAAGCTTTAACTAGCCATTTCAGCACTCGAGGCAAGCAGTACTGTCTCTCATCCTACTCTGATCGAGGCATGGTGCAAGTCTCCTCCAAAGGAAAAATACACCGGAATAAAAAGAAAGTTTACGCTATCAAAACAAAGAAAAGTTAACAGAACAGGGAAGTGCTGGGTGTTTATTTACCTAATACTCACCAGGAGATTCATCTCTAGATTTTGGCACTATCTAAATTCTGGAGGTGGCATTGAGGAATTATATAATCTGTATGATTGTGGGTGTGGGTGTGGTTTCTAATAGAAGCCTTTTGCCTTGAGTGGTCTACTAAGAAAGCACATTTTTATATATACACCCAGAAAGCTCTTCTTTCTATGGTTACGCCAAAGTATTAAGCAACATCTCCATCTTTGTAAATCTATTTGGCCTTCAGATATGTTAAGATTACAGCTCCCGTAACCCCACAGATATTCTGGCAGGGAGATTATGGTAACTGTAGTCTAATGCATCTGGAGACATAGACAGCTCATGACTAGAGCAGCGCCCTGCCCAGAAATTTTGGAGTGAGATGTCCCCCTTGCTTGACCCATGGGCCATCCCATTTGTAGGATACCAGGTTTAGAAGAGTTGTCCTAGGAGTGACCATCACTATGGTCAGGACTGAGCTGTTAAGACTACCGTAGAGTTGCCCCAGAGAGCAAAGGAGCACATCAAAATAGAAGAGAACTAGGAAGAAATGTATTGCTCATGCAAAGCCCTAACCCAGACTGGACACCCCTTCCGGTTTAGAAGATCTCAGTGGCCTTCTTGGGTGAGCAGGACTACTGCCTACAAAGATACTCTAATTTGCATGTTTGGTGCCTCCCCAAACCAAATGTGTATCTAGAAGTTCCCTGTTCTAGCCAATGGTAGCTCTTCATGACATGTGACTTGATTTCCACATCAACGATGTCTATATCCTTCTCTTTTCAGCGTGAGTGCATTTCAGTCCATGTTGGCCAGGCCGGTGTGCAGATTGGCAATGCATGCTGGGAGTTGTATTGCTTGGAACATGGGATTCAGCCAGATGGGCAAATGCCCAGTGACAAAACCATCGGAGGTGGGGATGACTCCTTTAATACTTTCTTCAGTGAAACTGGAGCTGGAAAGCATGTGCCTCGGGCTGTATTTGTGGATCTGGAACCCACTGTGATTGGTGAGTGTTCTGTGTCAGGGATACAGTCTGAGCCAATCCTGGGGGATATCTCAGTGCATTCTTGCTGGTTGCTGACTTGAATCCAGAGATGGTGCAAGATATTTTGATGCCTGTCAGGCTAGTAAGAATATAGTAACAAACCAACTATTTAACCACTTCCTACCCTTTTGTGGTATCCAAAAATCTCCCATCAGCCTTGAGTTAATCTATAACCTGCTTTGTCTTTCTGTTGGTCAATGTCATTTGTAAAGCATTTTTCCAACATCACTTTTTGAATGAATCACTTTTTCCCCTTCCACTTCCCTCATTATCCAGCCTTAACATCCCAGAGCATGGATTGGATTAACCTTGGTCTCCAGCAACACATCCTTACTTTTAAAGATGATTTCTTTTAGTTAGGACGAGCGATTTACTAGCCCTTTGATGATTGGATTAACCTTGGTCTCCAGTGACACATCCTTACTTTTAAAGATGATTTCTAGTTCTTTCATTCTTGCCCAACCAAGTCTCAATCTTCTTCTGATTTCTTGGCCTTGCCCAACCAGGTCTCAGTCCTTTTCTGATTTCTTGGTAGCAGTTATCCCCATGTTCATTGATTATTAAACCAAGGTACAGAAAATCTCTAACAAGTCTGATTTCTTCAGTGTTAGCATTAATGTTATATAAATGTTCTACATACACAATTTTTATCTTCTTAGTGTAAAGATATAATCCAGCTTTTTCACTTCATTTAACCGTAAGTGCTCCTTTCAGATTGTTGTTATTTACTGCCAGTATTATAACATAATCTGCATATTGTAAATTATTGCTGTTTTTTTTTCACCACTTTTCACTCCTCCTTCATCTCAATTTAATTCAGTTTATTTTCCTGTTTTCTTCTCCTAAAATATTGGTGCGTCTTATGGAAAGGTGTGTCTTATGGAGCGAAAAATGTATTTACTGCCAGTATTATAACTTAATCTGCATATTGTAAATTATTGCTGCTTTTTTCACCAGTTTTCGCTCCTCCTTCATCTCAATTTAATTCAGTTTTTTATATACATATGTTCTGCATGCAAGATGAACAGACAGGGAGATAAAATGTACTCTTGCCTGACAAATTCACCTGTTGGAAATCATTCTGTTTCTCCATATTTTTCTTCTACAGAACCCTTTTGTGCACAATATAGGTGGACAATCAAATGTTGAGGAACACCCATTTTCCTTTAGAGCAATCCACAGTTATTTTTTGTTCCACATAGTCAAATGCTATGCTATGGTTCATAAAGCACAATTTGACCTTTTGAAATTCTTCATTATACTCTAGCAGCCAAAGTATATTTATACTGAGAGCTCTGGAGTGTCTTTCCATTCTGAATTGAGCTTGAATGACCTTTCTTCATCCAAATATAGTAAAAATCTTGGTTGTAAAATTTTGAGCATCACTTCACATGCATGGGAAAATTAATGTGATATGTTTTGTCTTAAAGGTACTTTTCTAAAGCATAAATTCAGACCAAATTCAGCTGATTTAGAGTTGTTTCAAAATGATGTTTTTATAACCCATAGCCATAGTTAACTCAGAATGCCATGCCACTTTGGAATGTTGTCCCGAGAGGAATGGTTGGCACTGGTGGTAAATGTTATATACTGCACTCAAACTCATTTTTGAACAAAGGCATAGTTTGTAAATGGTTCAGATAAAGAACAAACAAATAAAGGATCCTACAGACAGGCTCAGAATATACTGTACCTGCATAGGTGCAAATGTGGAGGTCAGTAGAATATACCTGCATAGGTGCAAATGTGGAGGTCAGTTGTATGTTGAACAAATGCCACGAGGGCAGAAGGTGACAGAGGGGTCATCCACAATGGGAAATGACCTGTACTGTGTATTCTAGATGAGGTTCGGACTGGCACCTACCGCCAACTCTTCCATCCAGAACAGCTGATCACTGGCAAGGAAGATGCTGCCAACAACTATGCACGTGGGCATTACACCATCGGCAAGGAAATCATTGATTTGGTGCTGGACAGAATCCGGAAGCTGGTAATGTGGCTTGGAACCAAGGGAGACGGGGAGCAAGAAGGGGACTTGGTAGTGTATGGGGCCCCAGAGGAGTCCCGGGTGAAGATCATGACTGAGCATAAATTTGGGTGGGGAATTTGTAGTCTTCCTGTAACTCCCAAAATCCCTCACCATGGACTGTGCAGACTGGAATTTTGAGGCTTTAAATCTGAAACACCTGTACGTTCAAACGCACCCCCATTGCTTGTATAAGTTATAAGCAGGTGGTGTTATGGCACACAGTTCATTTTCTACTGCTTCTGTGAAAGGACTGGAGCCAATCGGGCACATTTTCTTCACAGAGTACTTAAAGCTCAGCGATATATGGAATGGTCTCATTTTCTGATGAAACAGGACCTAGCCTCCTATACCAGTGATATGATTACTGTCTGTCACAGGGGGTCAGTGTTTCTGAAAGCCCAGCTGGTTAGTGAGGGCATTAATCTGTAATGAAGAAATACAGCACAACCACTCTTTCTCAGAAATATATCACATTATACTCCAAGAGACTTATTCTCAAATTAGTATATCTATAGTTAACAGTTGATCTCCTAACAGTATTCATTTTGGGACAGGATATCAAAAGATCAGCTAGGAAAACTTACGAGAACTCGGATTCTCATGTCCGTCCACTCCACTCTGGAATGCCCATTACCTGTTTCTTGGTTTGTTTCATGTGTCCCACAGGCTGATCAGTGCACGGGGCTCCAGGGATTCCTCATCTTCCACAGCTTTGGGGGAGGCACTGGCTCAGGATTCACTTCCCTGCTGATGGAACGGCTCTCAGTTGACTATGGCAAGAAGTCCAAGCTGGAGTTCTCCATCTATCCAGCACCTCAGATTTCAACCGCTGTGGTGGAGCCCTACAACTCCATCCTCACCACACATACCACTCTTGAGCACTCCGATTGTGCTTTCATGGTGGACAATGAAGCCATCTATGATATCTGCCGCAGGAACCTGGACATTGAGCGTCCAACCTACACAAATCTGAACAGGTTGATTGGCCAGATTGTGTCCTCCATCACTGCCTCCTTGCGCTTTGATGGGGCTCTCAATGTAGACCTAACAGAATTCCAGACCAACCTAGTGCCATACCCCCGCATCCATTTCCCTCTGGCCACTTATGCCCCTGTCATCTCTGCCGAGAAGGCCTACCATGAGCAGCTTTCTGTGGCTGAGATCACAAATTCTTGCTTTGAGCCTGCTAACCAAATGGTGAAATGTGACCCTCGCCATGGCAAATACATGGCTTGCTGCCTTCTGTATCGAGGCGACGTGGTGCCCAAGGATGTCAATGCTGCCATTGCCACCATTAAAACAAAGAGAACAATCCAGTTTGTGGACTGGTGTCCCACAGGTTTCAAGGTGGGCATCAACTACCAACCCCCTACTGTGGTTCCTGGTGGAGACCTCGCCAAAGTCCAACGGGCAGTGTGTATGCTGAGCAATACCACTGCCATTGCTGAGGCCTGGGCCCGTCTGGATCACAAGTTTGACCTGATGTATGCCAAGCGGGCCTTTGTCCATTGGTATGTAGGGGAAGGCATGGAAGAAGGAGAGTTCTCAGAGGCCCGTGAAGACATGGCTGCCCTGGAGAAGGATTATGAAGAGGTGGGGACTGATAGTATTGATGGAGAAGGAGAAGAGGAGGAAGGGGATGAGTATTAGCACAATCAAGTTTCTCTTATATGGGGAATTAAAAGATACAATACATTTGGGGATTCTTTTGTCAAAATAAAACATTCAGTATGTTGCAGACCTGTGGTTTCATTTTCTCACTGATTCACAACCTAACCAAATTTTTCCTTGCCTATCTGACTTTTAAGTGCAAGAAATCTTACATCTGGAACAATCTCAACTCTTGAAGGTAACTATGGATGTGACTAGATGAAGATTTGTCCCACAGTGTGGTCTACTCTGGGTACTGGCTGGTTTGCTTCCTCCACCCCTCACCCCCCTCCAGCAACTACATTATATTGTGGACCTGATCCATGCCTATGTGAACCTTTTTGGCTCCCTGTCAGGGGCTACTGATTTTGTTTTTGCTGTGAGTAGGATTGGTCCATTTTGGTTTGGTTCCAATACGTGTGATCACCAGGACTGTACCAAAGCAGATGGTAGCTCATGACATTGGGGCACAACATTCCCTCTAATTTTCAGCCCCGCAGAGTTCCATCACAACCAGAACCAAAGGGGCAGAAAACATTTGTTGTGAATGTGCAGAGGAGGAGGAGCTTTGTGTGGAGGGGGGGGTAAAGTCATGTGTGTACAGGCACACACCGTAGAGAGAACCTTGTTGGGACACTGAAAGCTTCTTTTATTTTCTCCTGGAGTGGAGAGAGGGGAAGCAACAGTTCTGTTTTCTTTTTTCAAAAAGCCCTTGTAAGGCAGCGCTGATGTACTATGCCACTTAGATTTTTTTTAACTGAATGCTTTCTCCTGCTTCCCCACAGAGGGGAAAACAGGAGGAGATGAGGAAGGGCTTTTCTCTCATTTTGTCCTTCCCCCCCTTTCCTTCGCTTTTCCCTTTAAAGGAAAGAAGGGGCAAATCGGGTCACCTGATGCATTGAGTGGTTTTCTGCCCTGAAGGACATATGGCACCTCAAAGTGCCCCTGTTTAGCATGAACTAGACTGATCCAGGCTGGGATAATTTGGCCCTCTGGTCCCTGGCCCACTTGGGGGGCCTAGTCCTGGTACAATAATCAACACAGATTTTTCGGAACTTGTTTGCTCCTAGTAAACTGTGACTGAAGCACACAGGATGGCAAAAATGTAGGCCCAAATGCTGAGGCCAAACTTTCCCATTTCAATCACAATTTAGGACTATATGATAAACACTTTGACATATAATGGTAGGGCTAGATTGCGCACTCACTCAATCCAAGGAGAGCATTGCTCCAGCTAAGCCTACCCAGAATCTCTGATTCAAGACATGGAATGCATATTATAAGAGGACAGACTCTCCGAGTGTCTCTTATCTCTCCTCCAGGCTGGGAGATCTTGTTCTGCTATGGCTCTAGAAAACTACCTTTTGGCTGTTCTCCCCCACCCACTCACCCCCTCCAGCAAGTTTAAAAGTATTGAATGTAGCAGATTGATTCTTTCCTTCTTCCTTTCCCTCTAACCTAATATCTTCATTATCACATTTTCCAATATTTTGGCATCAAATAGACTGGGCCTATGTATGTTTACACAAAAGATTGAATTCAGTGAGATTCACTCTCAAAGAAAACATACAGTACAGCCCAACTATATGAGCCCTGCAAAAAGTCCACACAATATATTAAAGCTTAGTAACCCAAGCGTTAAACTGTGTTTACTAACCTATCTGCTTCAGCATCTGTAATAACTACTCGTAACTCAAAAAAGGAAAAAGAGCCGGTTTTGTATGCTTTCCCAGACTGACAGAAGGGAAGCAGTTCTTAACTGGCATATAAGTGACTTTTATAAATCTGTATTAGACAGGAATACACACTGCATTTCTTGAGTTTTGGTTATCTACATAATTGATATAATTCATGCTGTTCACTAGATGGCTGTTATGTGAATAATCTGAAACAAGGTAATCATGTGGAAAGATGCCTGCCATTGGTCCAAATGTCTAATTATTGGGAGAGGAGGGTCCCTGAACCATAAACTCCAGCAAAAGCTCATGTTTAAATACAAGGTTTAATTTGAATTACAGGAGCAAGAGGGCTAAGGGTAGAAATGGCACCATTAAGAAGCAAGGACTGGGCAACTATGGAGTATTAACTCATAGTTAATGTCCCTCCCTCATATCCTTAAGGAAAGCATAAAGCATTGATGTCACAATGATCCCCAACATCTCATTGGCTACTGAAGCTGTTTGGGGTGATGGTAAACCCTTGCCTCCCACAGGATATAAGGTGCCCAGATAAGTCATCAGGTGGAACAAAGAACACGGGCAATCTCTGGATGAGCTAAGGTAAAATAATTGGCTTGACTTTAAGAAATTAGACGAGTAAGAAATTCTAATGGGGAGCAGGACATGGAATGTACATTGTCACAGCTAGGCAGGAGAGCTGGGATCAACAGGATTAAGAAAGCAAAGGGTCCTGGTGGACAGAAAGTAAGAGTAAACCAGTAACAGCCAGAAGATGTTTTGAGAAGTCAGGCTTAATTGTTGTGCAGTAGAAGGACCCATTTTAAGTTCTGACAGCAAAATCTTAAAACCTCAGCCTTCAGCCTTCAGCAGATTCTCTTGTCTTAACCCCAAGGCCCACCTGTATATCAGACCCAACACCTTTCTCCTGGCCGTTTGTTCCCATCTACATACATATTACCAGAAGCTTAGGAGACAAGACTAAGCAAATTCAGTAAAGATGCGTTCTTTTGGTCTAGCTTTGCTGATCTGGGGAACTTTCCACCACTCACAATCAGCAACCAAATGAGGAACTAGCAGTAGTGTTCAATAATGAAAGTCAGCATGGAGACTTAGGTCTAGCCTTCGCACTACTGTATAATTACATCAGGCAAGCAGAGAGAGAGAGAGTTAAGAGCAAATGGGAATGTCCTATTATGGTATCCACAATAGCAATGATCTTAGAATCCATGAAATGAGATTCATAAATCCTATGTTAAGCACATAGTTGTACATACCATATTTCTTCCTTTGGGCACAAAGCAAAGACTTGGGCTTACATTAACACAGGGACTGTGCCAATGTGGTTTGGGGGGGGCAGGTGACCCCAGGCTATTTTTCTTGTCCTCCCTACAACTCCTCTTCTGCTTTCTCTTTAGACTTCCCTACCAAAAACTCAATCACACATACACAAGAGGAAAAACACCTTTGCATTCCTGCTCTTGGAAGCTTCCACATGAGCTGCAATTGACGTTTTCAACAAATCTTGCCCTCTCTTCCCTGACAGTGTTTGTTAACATACAAGCAGATATTTGAAATCCAGAAGTGGGTTTTGAGCCTCTTCATTTCTTTCTTTTTCATTTGGGGCATTTTTCAATAGTTCTGCTGGTAGATCTTAGGTTGTCTAAACTTGCATTAGGTAAAAATATGGATGAACTGTAATGTTTTAGATTGTAGGCATGTTAACTACAATTTGGAACACCACAAATTCAACATATAATTTACATGCTTCCAAAACTTGAAAAACTAGGATGTCAGCGGATGGAGAATTTGCTCACACTGATATCTAACTCCCTAGTTTACCATCCTCAGACATCAACATATTTTGGATGGGTCCTTGTGGGACAAGGCTCTGCCCTAAATATAGACAGGTGACATGAAGTGGATTCCTCAAGTGGAGAAATGATATGAAGAAATTCTAAACTGGTGTAGATCTGTGACCCCTCTTCTTGGCCATCCCCTCTGAGAGGTCTTGTGGGCTGGCTGGGTTTTGAGGTCCATCGTTCTGTTTCGTGTTCTGCAGGGCCCTGTTGCACACAGCACCGACCTCCTGCTGTGCTGTAAGAAGCAGTGAAACCAACAGTGCGGCCATGAACAGCCCTAGAAGCAGCTCAAGTAGTGTGGACACAGGTTGTGCTTCCGGAGACATTGCTTCCCTTGCAGCTGCACATTTTCCTCTACTTCTCTGCCACTGGTTTCTGCACAGGAGAGACAAATGGCTGATGTGCCAGACTATTATAAGATTTTAGAAATTCCACGGGATGCTTCTGACAGTGACATTAAAAAGGCGTAAGTCTTTCTTCTGCAGTCTCAATATGTTTTACTTCTGAGACTCCAAGCCAGGATCGAACAGTACATTATGGGCAGCGTGCCACTAGCAGAGTGAATTCTTGAAGTACTGAAAGCACATGGTTCTCACAGCAGGAGTTTTTCAAGCCTCCTGTAGTTTGCAAATTAGCTTACTCTGTTTTGCAATCAGTCCTCTAAACATAAAAATGAGCCTGATCCACAGGTCTGATTTCTCAGACCTGACTGTCTGCCAGAATAACATATCTGTAACACTAACAGGATTTCAGCTAAAATGATGTATTATCTGTAACGTATCGTTTGACCCTCAAAGACAAGAAGGATTCCTGGTGCTAGCTCAAATAATCTATCACACCACATCAATATAAAATATGTATTGTTTAATTAATATGAAGAGTAGGAATATCCTGGTGATCCAATTATGCTAATGAGCACAAGCCCCAAAGAGGCATTCTGTTAAATAAGCAGACACGTGGAACGTTTGAAATCAACTAGAAGTTGTGGGACTTTCAATCAGAATCCATGGAATGGACCAGGATTCTCTCCTGGAGACTCAGTACAGGTGATTAAAGCTGAGAAGAGGAACTTTAGTTCCAGATGTTTTTGTTATTCCTTGACTCAGAATCCAGGTTTTGCCCTGACATTAGGAAGAAGCCGCAACTCCATGGTCAAATATTGTGGTATTTGCTGTGGGTGTCTGACAGATGAATTTGGTTTTTTGGTTTTTTACTGGCCCTTTTTGCTTCCAGTATGGAAGTTTGTTTCTCTGTCACTGGGAGGCTTCTACTTTTTCCAAGCTCTCACAATCTGAACACACTCCCCCCCCCATGGGGGAGAGTGACTGTGGGTGGTATTCTGGTGATGTACTAAGCTGGGTGTGATGTTTTGGACAGTGGGAATAGCTACCCCTGCAATTTTCTCCCTACAGTATTTTTTATTTTAACAAACGAACAAGTTTGGCAACAGATCACCTCTGCTCTGGGGAAAAAAAGATAAAATTTGATATGAAATAGAAACGACTCCAATGAACTACAGCAGGCTACCATGTTTCTGCAGTAGGTGTATATACATTTGCGCATTGTGGAGAACATGGACAACTATCCCTTTCTCCTAAAGTCATGCAAAATGTTAAACAGCTCAGCATCTTTATAATGAACCATAAAAGGAGAGTCAGGGATCAGCACAGGATGGGATCAAAGGTGATGGTGGGGATTGTGGGCTGTGGATCAAAGCACTTTGGATTGAGTGGCCAGTGGGGATACAGGCACCAAAAAAATCCATAGTATCTGTGCAATCACCTAATCCAAACAGGAGTGTAAAATAGGCTATGAATCAAGAAGGAAGCAGTTTGACTTGCCAGGATAGTTGCATCCTGAGGCAAACTGCCTCAGGTGAGAGATGCTGTGAGGCAACAGCAATAGCCCGCCATTTATGCAATCAAGACTTAAGCTGATAAAAGTTCCCAATAAGATTCTGGACTCTGTATTTTAAGTGCTCAAGGAATAATTTTCTGAGGCATAAACTCATGGTACAGCAGACAATGACTAGAGAAATTTACGGAGAGTAGTAATACTAGTGAGAGACTGCTATTGAAATTCAAAGCAAATCCAACATTTCAGAATAATTATTTATTCATTTTTGTTTGTTTGTTTGTTTGTTTAACTTATATCCCACTCACAAAGGTCTCTGGATGGCTTACAACAATTTAAATAAAGTAAAAAGCTAAAACAATTAAACTACAATTAAAATATATACTCTATAAATTGCCATGATGTAGTGCAAGAGGTTTTCTGGTTATCAAAATATTGCAAACAAACTGGTCAGGGTGAAATAATGTTTAACCACAGCTGACAGGTGAGGTGTGGAATTAAACTTTTCCGTTGTATCCCCTGGCCATGCATATGTGTGCACAGCTTTACAGATCTTTAATTTTATAGCCAATAGTTATAGAGTAACACCTATTAAGCCAGGAGTGAGGAAGGTGGGGCCTTCCAGATGTTGTTGGACTGTAACCCTTATCAGCCCTTGCCAGCACAGCCAATGGAAAGAGGTGAAGGGAGTTGTAATCTAGCAACATCTGGAGGGCCACCTGTTTCCCATCCCTGCAGTTAGATTTGGTGGTTAAAATTAACATGGGATGGTGCTCCAGCTCTTTACACAGATGCAACACATGCCAGGCCTGCACTTCTCCATTTCTTTGAAAAGAAAGTAATTTCTGCAGCAGACATGATTAAACTTTGTGCTGGTGTTTATATAAAGCAGGTGCACATCTAGAATTGGTGTGCATAATGTGCTTAGGTGACAGGAACACTTTCAGTTGGCTGAATTGATAAAATATTGATATGGAATTCACACAGCTTCTTCTGGGGCCATAGTAATAGGATTTTAATAATCCATTTCCATTATTCAGTCACCAAGCTGCCTGGAGGACAGAGAGTGTGTACGACAGCCACTATGTCCTGGAGTACCAGACAGGTGATAGAGGGCAGTGTACTAAGAGATGAAGTGGGGCTGCCCAATATGGCCAAGACAAATGTACAAGCTGTTTCCAGGCACAAAGGAGATGCCTAGACTCATGGTACTCTATTCTATTTTTATTTTTTGGAGCAGGTGTGGGAAAGATGCCCACATAAAGAAAGGATAGATGCTGCGGTGATAGAAATTATTGCTCAAGTCATAGCAAGCAATCATATCAGGCAAAATCCAAAGAAAAATAAAACATTTAAAAGGATAAAAAACCTTGTGGCACATTAAAGACTGTTACTTTTTAATGTGCATATCAGGCAAAATCCAAAGAAAAATAAAACTTTTAAAAGGACAAAAACCTTGTGGCACATTAAAGACTGTTACTTTTTAATGTGAGTCCAGTGGTTGATTGTGGAGAACTGGTACCTAGTTGCTCAATGGTCTGGAAAGCCACAGAAATACTCGAGAGTCTCTCACCTACCTGTGTATTTCAGGGTGACTGCTCAGAGTGGGGGCAGGACAGTCTCTCGATCCAGTGGGGCAGGTATTCAGGCTGGTTTATTATTAGTGCCTTATAGAACTCAAAATAATATATTTCTTTTTTTTCTTCTGGGGATGCACAGGTACAGGAAGAAAGCCCTGCAGTGGCACCCAGATAAAAACCCAGACAAGAAGAAATATGCTGAGCAGAAGTTCAAAGAAGTTACAGAAGCTTATGAAGTGCTATCGGACAGTAAGAGACTTCATTCTTCTCTCTCCCATGTTCTTTCCCAGTTTGTCAGGGGATCTTTTAGGTTTACATCTTCCTGGACTTAATGATGTTTTGCATAGCCTTTCTTAGCTGTGAGTCATCTAGACAATAGCATGTTTTCAGAAGCAATGCTTCCCCAAGTGGTGAAAGATGTCAGCTTGTCATAGCCTGATTTTCCTTTACTGCTTCTCTTGTATTTAGCACACTTTGTTTTGTGATTGGCTTCTGAAGAAAAACACAGGGTTAATTAGCAAGCCTGATGGGTGAGGCACATATTAGAGAAAATACCATCATAGGAGGAAATATGGCTTAGCTGGACCTCATGTCCCTATGTTACCACCCAATTTCGGTCCCGATTCTCTGGCAGGAATAACAGATAAGACAGCGCATTGATCAGTCTATATGTAAGCCAATTTATTAAACATATAGCTGGACTCCGTCCCTAAAAGGCGGACCGGGAGCCCCCACCATCCATTGGTAAAGCATTTTATAAGTTTCTTACACAAAGGACAAGAAAGCACAGCATCACCTATTGGTCTCCCGAACCCTAATCTTAAAGTTCAGTGGTTAATGGGTGCCCGTGTTGGGTCATTCTACTAGATGTAAGAAAATTGTATTCCAGGCCCCTCCCTTTGGACCTGTGGGTTAGTGGCTCCCAAGTTTGTGAATTTGTGTGACCCACTGTGCAGCTTATCTTTAAATATGTTAATGACGGATTATTCCCAGATGAACCATGGGTTAGAGTAGAAGTTACAGTCCTGAGTGAATTATACATTGTTGTGGGTTGGCCTTGAATGGGGAACAGCTGTGTGATAATGTAAGAGGTTTTCTCCAAGTGGGAAGGGTCAGGAGCACCAAGAGAGAAATGAGGATACAAAATACATTTACTATAGAAAATGCATATAAAGCACAGATACAAAATGCATATAGAATATCATTATAGTAAGGAAATAGTAAGAACTCATATTTCAATTACAGGTACAAGGTATGATTACTTGTGTAAAATACTGATTATGAATGTTAAGTACATGTGAATCAAATAGCATGTGTTGTCTTAAATTGTAAAGCCGGTACTTCGTATATGTTATATCAGAACCTCATCCTTGCCCCCTATCACCTATATTAAAGAAGATGTTGTAATGACTGTTTCTCAAGAGGTTGCCTCTTTGTCTTTGCAGCTCTTGAGAAGCGAGGTAATAACAATGTTAGTGGCTTGGGAGGAATGATGGCACATTAACCATGGGAGGATTTCCGCCTTCTGCCTACCAACAGAGGCTATTACCTGTCATTGATCACCATTACTGAGCACCTGCCGTGGCCTACACCTTAGCAGGGTCCACTGCCAACCACTGGAGCTCCATAATTCTTCTGCCCCTAATTGTTGTTGTCATTCCCTGTTTATCTGTCCAATTCACATTTGGCAGCACTGACAGGAGAAAGAGCAACAGATTTCCCTTGCCTTAAGAGCAGAATAGCCCTGTTGGATCAGATTAGAGGCCTGCCCAGTTCAGCATTCTGCTTGGACAGGGGGGCCCAACAGATAACTGTGGGAAGCCCACAGCCAGGAGTGAGTGAAAGAGCACCACCCTGCCAACTCTGTCCTCTAACAAAGGATTACAGGGCCTACAGCCAGGAGTGAGTGAAATCAGGGGTGAAAAGAGCACCACCCTGCCGGCTCTGTCCTCTAACAAAGGATTACAGGGCCATAATTACCTCTGTAAGGTACAGCCATCCTGACTCCTAGCCATTGATCGTATTGCTCTCTTTACAGTAGGGCCAACTGGGCTAAGGGTGTGACTACACAGCAAGGGAGATGCAGATTTACTCACAGTCACTCACTGTCAATTTGCCCTAGGGAATTTGGGTATGTTCAGATTAAGGAGCCACACAGGAAGAGGGAGGGGTGTGTGGGAAGCCTCTTTTGCACACTATCTGCAGGGCTACTGAAGAGCCTACAAGGAGTGCAGTTCAAAGGAGCAGCCTTGACAGGGTGTGAAAAGGCCATTTCCTCTGTCGTTTCCCCATCTGATTAATAACACCAAGTTATTTAAAAGAAAGAGAGAGAGAGAGAGGACAAGCAACAGCAAGCCGAGGCGATGAGGCTACCCAGGAAGGGAATGGCCAAGGGCATCCTCTGCAAAAACACCCTAAAGTATTTATGGTCTAAAAACTAGTGGTTCTCAAGCTGGGGGGGGGTGTCCCCAGATGTTCTTGGACTACAATTCCCAGAAGCCTTCACCACTTGATGTGCTGGCCAGGATTTCTGGGAGTTGCGTCCAAGAACATCAGGGGACCCCAGCTTGAGAACCAGTGGTCTACCTCCGAGCCAGCCTTGCTGTGCAGAGGAGTCTTGTTGATGTGCCAACCTTGTAGTGCAGGGAGAGAAAAACTGTGGCCTCCTAAGGTCGCTGCACTTCCAACTCCTATCAGTGCTCACAATCCTATCCAACATGAGGGATCATGAGAGTTGTAATCCAGCAACATCTAGAGCACCATCTATTTCCTTATCCCTGGGTGGGCAAAGTGTGGTCTACGAATTACATGTGCCGCCGCTGCCGCCGCCCCCCACCCCCCATTTCTCTGCAGATCGTACATCTTGGCAGTGTGGTCCTGGAGATACAGACCAAGTTGAAAGGTAGCCCATGGCGTCACCAAAGTTGTCCATCCCCTGGTGTGGAGCCACATTGCAGGTCCTACAAATGACACAAAGCTTACTATGGTCTTTGAGAGCTTGCTTGCTATTTTCTCTTTTTTTGCTTTTCTTTCAGAGGCCAGGCGAGAACGTTACGATTCCTATGGAGATGGACTCACGGCAGCAGGTAAGGATTTGTCCTTCTCCCATCCGATTCAACTTCTTGTGATGCCTATGAGCTTCCAATGCAGGCTGGCATTTTGCTTTGTACTCCAAGCCAGGGCCTCAGAAGTCTCCAGCTTTATTCTCCTACAAGAACTAAGCTGGTTTAAAGTGGTACGCAGACCAGTTTCAGTCTTCACAGAGATCAATTTGGTTGAACGTGGAGACGGTTTTCCACGAGTGCTCCACAGATGGACACCAATCATGGGGCTTTCATCCCTGCTATATAGGTCTGCTGCTTATAATGGAGGGGAAAGGGGCAAGCAAGGATTGACCTGGTTTCCTTTGTAAAAACCACTCTTTGAGAGAATTCTAGGGCTTTGATAAATCAGTTTGTGAATTGCACTTCTTCCGCAGCAGTTCCTGAAGGAGAAGACATGAACTTCACCTTCCGCAGCCCCTGGGAAGTTTTCCGAGAAATGTTTGGGGGCACAGATTCCTACGCTGGTAAGCTTTATTCTTATTTCAGGCTAACTTACAACTTCAAAGATCCAGAGATTGTCATCCCAGAGTTACCGTAGAAAATTTCCACTCTTCCCATGATAGTTGCTCAGCTTCATCTCTTTCCTTGCTTGCTGATTCTTCTGTGTCATGCTGTGTCTGATATCATGAATTCTACCCACCATATTTCATAGCTTTACAGTTCACGTTGTTATCCACACACCCCTAAACGCAGATATCCACACACACCCTAAACTCTACTGCAGCGTTAGGATTGAGGCATTTTCACTTTGAGATAAAATACAATGGATGAGCATGGATTCTGACTGAGTGGGAAACAAGACTTCAAAACTCCACATTAATTGAAGCCTTTGGGAGTCTGAACATTCGCCCACTATCATTTTCAAACCTAGAAACACCCATGTAGCTTTTAACGATCACCACCATGCCTGACAGGCACCAGAATCAAGGGTGTGACTAGACTGGCTTAATTCACAGTCTCTTTGTGATTGAATTTGGTTAGGTGACCAAATGTAGACCCTGGACTGTTTCAGTGCCAATGTCCACACTCACTAGCCCCTCAGTCCAACGTGATTCAACCTGTTCCCACAGCCCCACTTTCTTTGTTACCACCCTCCTGCCGATCTGCAGCTCTCCTGTTATGGTTTGCTATCAAGCTGTTGGGACTGTTTTAAGGGTTGCATGGTGGTAGGGGAAAATAGTCAGTTTTCTGAAGTTCTTCATACATGTACAATCATACACATATACAATAGAAAAATTGCAGTCTGCTGGATTTTGTTTGAGTTGTCATGATTTTGCATCAATTTTTATCTTTTGTTTTGTTTTTGTCTGTGTGGAGGTGCTCTAGCACTAAATTAATGTAGCAACGGTGTGATAAGGTGATCTAGTGCTAGACTCAATAGTTTATCTTTTAAAAATGAGCAAAAGTACTTTGGGGTGACTATGGGAATGGTTGTTCTCATTGTCCCAAAGTATCACGCCCAAGCTTACTACATCACCAGAAAACCTGCCCAAAGAACGTGCCTCTCTGGTCCTTCTGCAGAAGAAAACAAATGATGACACAGGCAAAATACTGTTCAAATTGTTGCAGTTAGAAAAAAGAAGAAGCTCCCAATGGTGGTGGTGGTGGTGGGGAGAGAGATCTAGATTGAAAGGAAAAAAATGACAGGCTTATTCACATTGACTTTTGTGTCATGTGACCATTGAAAAATACTTCAGAATGACTTGTGCTGATTCTGGATCAAATTTTGAGGTTTATTCCAATGTAAGTCACACACTAAGAGAAAAGTACAGTATAGGCCCTTGAACACCAAGGGAGGTCCTTAAAGCCGGATTAAAAACAAATTATGACATTAGAATATTTCATAAATAGACAATGGCAGCTGGATGGGAGGAGGGAAAGTCTGAAATACAAGAAAGAAGATAGAACCTGGTAAGGAAATTATTTTAGTTTGCACAAAAAGAAAAAAAAACCATTATTGCTACAAGATGCCTTTATGCACAATCTTCCATTTTTTTTCAGTGAAAAAGGAGGATGACCTCCCATGGTACTTGCGAGGCCCTTTATTTTCCATTTCGATTTCAGAAGATTCAGGTAGTATATCGATTGCCTTTTTTTAAACCCATAAACTTTGAATCTTGTGCCTTTCTTCTCTCTCCTGATGTATTTGCTGTAACCTCTTCCTAGATCTTCTTCTTTCGTCCTGGGAATGCCACAACGTTATTTCCTTTTCCTGACCCTTTCTTTGTTTCAGCGCTTATTCACTTGTTTTGATCTCTGTACTAAAGTGTTTTTTAATATTTCACCTCCAAACCCTCTAATCTGAAATTCCATGAATACTATCTTCTGATTTGTAAAAAGCATGCACTTTATTAATTGATGATCCATAAGGTCATCAGGTCTGCAGCTCAAAAATTAAGAAAATGCAAATTACCATTATTTACCCATGCTCCATAAAGTACACATTTCATATCTTATAGCAGAATCTGTTCAATAATGACCATAACCACTTTCTTTCTTTAAATATTTTTGCCTGAATTTGCACCTGTCTACCTTGTTAGTAAGTGAATAGGCCCTCATATGGGTACATACTCCAAGGTATGCTAGCCAGAGCTCTTCTGAGGGAAATTAGGATACAGTACAAATAAGATAGCTCTTCTATGATGACAATTTGGATAAGCCATGTAATTCTCCACTAATAATTCCTTCAGAAAATATGCATAGAACTGTTTTTGTGGCTGCCGTGCTTTGTGAAACACTTTCAAAGCTCTCTGGGCTAGAGGTTCATAAGGCCAACCATCTTGTGTTGGGCTGTGGTAAAGTTGGTAGTTCACCAGGCACACATTGTCACAACACAGAATATGGCTGGAGGTTGTCCCACAGAAAGGCATACAGTCCATGGACTAGCATGACGAGGATACTAGATTGGCCAAGAGTTCCCAACACTGAATTTGTCATTTTCTTTTGCAGGAGTTTCAGTAACATTTGGCCCCAAAAGATCCCTTTGTTTCTTCTCTCTTGATCCCAAAGTCTTCAATTTGAAACACATCATAACCAGAAAAAGGTAGGAATTATACTTGAAGCAGCCATTCACAGATGGCCACGAGGTGGCATAAGAGGTGGCAGCTCAGTAGATTACACAAACAGCAGCTGGCTGCTACCACTCAATAGTAGTTCCTCATTAAACCTTCAAACTAAACCAGCAGCGCAAGCCAAAGGCACATAACTCAATTCAGCATTTCCTTATCAACAGTAGCCTACAAGTGAAGCCTGCTTAGAAAAATCAGTGCCATTTGCTTCGTCATCTGGCACCTAGCTGCCAAGAGACATACAAGGCAAAATTCATTACATCCTTATATGGAGCAAGAAGAAAATCTCAAGCCAAAGCTAGATCTACAGGTGCATGAATCTTAAATTGGTGTCTCCCCATTAATAGCTAGTAAATTTGACAAGGCAGCAAGTTGTGGTTGTGTCCACAGCTTCTCTGCTACTGTTCCACTTCACCACCTGTTTTCTGAATGGAGTGAGGAAATGGGAGCATACTGCTTTCATTCACACCACACATCTGCAATTCAAATCTGGAGTGAATCACTGTCCTTATAAGTACAATGAGAAATAATTAACAAAAGTCTAGTACACCACACATCTGCTGCTAGGATGACCAGTAAGATGGTCTAAATTGGTGGCAGCATAGCAGCAGTGTCCACCAGTCAGGGGAGATTTGGATCTAGTGTAACTTAACTCACACCACCCCGTTCATGACCATTTTTATGCTGAGTGCCTCTTAGTGAGTGCAGCGGTTCTGCTGTTAGGCCCCTAAAATCTGTGGCCAGGATGGGTTTCTGACAGCACAAGGGCGTTTCTGTCAACATAAAGGGATTTCTGCCAGCAGAAGAGGCTAGCAGCCATTCCTAATCCCTTAAAACAGCCTTATCTTTGAGTTAGGGTTGTACCATAAAAGCAGAAATTAGTCCCACTTAAGACATGTTTGAAGAAGGATTGGAATCGGATTTCTTGGTACCTATCAATTGAATTTCAGCTTTTATTTGTATAAATCCCCTTGGCTGGAGACTTATCCTGAGGGAGGAATAATGTACAAGTTTTGTAATACATTTAACATTAATTGAGCCTGTGACTGTAAAAAAAAAGATTGGCTTACTGACTTATTAAATAACCTATATATCGTAAATTCAAATCGGGAGTGAATCACAGTCCTTATAAATACAATGAGAAATAATTAACAAAAGTCTAGTTCAGCCATTCTCAACATTTATTTGGCCACAGACATAAACACAGTATAGAAACATAGGCCAAATTAGGGTTCTGTAAGTTATATATACACCTTATAAGGTAGTGTGTGAAGAACTGCTTCCAGTTTGTGACTCCCTTCAAATGTACCAGGGTGCCCCTGGGGCCTTATGACACATTTTTGAAAAGGCTGGACTACTTGTAGTTCACCTTCTACATTCCAGATCAGTCTGTGTAAACTTCACACAACTCATTTGGAACACTGATATAGCAGTATCTCAGTGAAGATTCTAAGGTGCAAAATAAAGTTTGTCTACACTGACAAAATAATATCTAGATTACACTATAAGACATAATACAGAGATTGGCTAAAATTTTCTAGCATAAAAATCTAACATGTTTGATCCACTCACATAGTAATAGTCAGGTACAGAAACAAACAGTGGCCCAAGTCCACTGATCTAATTATGCTAGCATAGCAGATATAGCATAACTTTAAGAGGTAAATTGCCTGAAGTTAAGAAATCACCCTAGACATTATCAGTTGCATATTGAGTTGTATGATGCAGTGTGCAACTGATACGTCTATGGTGATTCCTTAACTTTGGGCAGTTTACCTCCAAAAGTTATGCCATCTACAGCCCTGTTCAAAGAAACAACCGTTCAGCCATAGCAAATAGGGCAAGTGCTGTTTAATTTTCATTGTGCTGGAAAGCTTGCAGATATAGGCTCTGACCACTTATAACATCACAACTGCTTTTGAAATTGATGGTGTGACTGGAACAAGTTTTTTAAGGAGACTCTGAACTGCTTCTAGATATGCCAAGAAACTAAAAGGATCTTGATAGAAGATGAAAATAAATAAATACATTTTGAGCCATGCGGGAGGTGAGAAAATGCCTCTTTAGTTTGGTGACCTCAGTTGCTTAATATTGCAGGTCAGCAGAAAAAGACTCTGAGCAAGTAGAAGCTAAAGATGATAAAGAGCTGAAATCTGCTGATGCTTCTGGTAAGAAGTGATGGTTTGGGGCCACAATAGGGTCATTCTAACTGGAAATTGTGCTACCTTGGCTTTTTAGAAACATACAATTCTATTGAAAGGAAATATGAGGGCTGAATCCTTATCTCAGACATGGAATACAGTTTTGTATTCTATGTTAATTAAACCTGAATAGTTGTTAGCTCTCTATTCACAATTCCTGTTGAGGATTAGATTTTATATAAAGAAGGGAATGAACCTCCCTTTAATCACCCTAGAAGCCATTGCTGAAAGACTTAAAGGGTAACTAATCTGTATTATGAGACCACTTGACATCTTTTGAACTACACATGCAGAAAAGCAGCTTTGTTAGGGAATGGGTTCCTTAAATTTGAGAAGCGTTCTACAGTATTCTGGTACCTTCTAGCCTGGTAGTTGGTGGTAAAGCTGGCTGGATAGATCTGTGAGTTATGCACTTGGGTCAGGAGATTCATTCCCCACTGTGTGTTTTAGGAGAAGAGTCAGTCTACCCAGTTTTAGGCAAACTGAATACTCCCAGAAGAAGGGACCGGTAAACCACTTCTGAGTACTTAAAAAAACCCAACATCGGCATAAGTCAGAACTGACTTGATAGCACATTGCTTTTGCTGTTACTGTATTATTATTATTACTTTTTGGTAATGGGGCCACCAGTGAAATGATGATGGTGGAAAGAATAAGGTGCCACCCTGAGTCTCGCCACCTGGGGAAAAGGCAGCATCAAGTGTAATAAATTAACAACATACATGAAGACAAAGCAAATAAGGCTATTCTCAAGCATGCAGGCAAATCAGCTGGCAATGGATATGTTCCACAAATCTTGGGGCAATATTGGACACACACCCAATAACCCTCCTGATACTGCTTTCCCACCCATGCTGATATTTAGTGATAGCCACTAATTTTGTGCCTGTTGCCAAAATTCAGCAGCAACTGCAACAGTTCTCTGTGGCGCAGGACGGTAGCAAAGTGCCTTTCAGAATCATACAGCCATTGTCAAAGTGTGGAGCAGAGCAGGTCCTTATCGTCTAGAAGGGAGGAGACTGGGTCCCTTTGTTTTTTGCTATAGCAACACTGGTGCAGTTTTTAGTGATACTATTTCTCGGATGTAGTGGCAAAAAAGGAGACCAAAATGTTCCACATAGTTACATGACTTCCAGGCCACAGATAGGCCAGCTCTCAGCTAGGCTAGACAGTAGCATAGGGAGGTCTGGTCATGCTAGCCATGAGCTTTGCGAGGAGCTGAGCTTTGCGAGGAGTTCTGGCTCGATCTAAATACTCATTGCTTGCACATACGGTCATGTTTCTCTTAATACTTGACAGTATTGTTTAGGATAGATATCACAGACCATGGTTTCCAAAATTTGGGTCCCCATATGTTCTTGGACTATGACTCCCACAAATCCTGGCCAGAATAGCTATTTGTTGAAGGTTTCTTGGAGTTTCGTCCAAGAACATCTGGGGACCCAAAGTTGGGAATCACTGTCATAGAGGAAAATAGATATTTTGATAACAAAAACAACACAGACAGAAAGCAGATAATCTAGAAGATAAAGTAATAAAATATGGGGAGGTGTCTCAAATGAATAGAGGCAGTCTATCCCAGTGAGGTAGTGTTATTGTTAGCAGTTTTGATGCACAGCCTGGACTGGACCCCGCCCCTGTCCATGTAGTCCAAAAAGTAACATCTCTATGTTCTTACTTGATACTAGTAGAGTTGTTAGCATCTCAGGTGGCCATTATGTCAATGCTCTGCCCTTGACAAGCAGCTATCATGGCAGAGTTGCATTAGATACTTCAGAGCATATCTTAAACTACATCTTAAACTAACAGTCCCTCTTTCCTGAGCCATTTGACCAAACATACAAAATCATTGGATCCATCTGTCCCCCAACCTCCCACATTATCACTGCAAGGACTCTTCTCTTCTTGGCCAGGGAAAGATAGGGCCTGTACTGAGAGAGGTAAATATGAAGAATGACTGTGTGTGTGCTTTGCTGGCTAGACAAAGGGCACGTAAGACAGGATCATTAAGCATTATCAAAGGAGAATGTAGTGTTATGAGAATGTTATGCCAAACCTGCACACAAATGCAATGATTCTTCATTGGACTCGCCAAAATCCTTGAAGTGGCCCCAGAGCCCTTCCTGTCCTGGTCTAGTTCCTCTGGCTTCTGCACCTGGATGTCCTTCCCCAAAACTCTCTGGCTAAGTCTGTCAGAATCATTGGAACACCATTCTTGACCAGGGACAGAATGCAGGTTATCACATCATTTGACATAGAGAAATACTGTGGTTTATTTAGAGAGAAAATGAAGAGTCTGTGGCATTGCTTCCAGAGACACAGAAATTTACATTATTTGAACTGCAATGTCTAGAATCTCACAGTCAACATGAGCAGTTGCCAAGGGAGCTGCATGACTGTGGGAATTGTAGCCAAAAAAAGTAGAATGCTTTGTTTATGAGACACATTTCCAGTTCCTACTATATCCGAGCCTTGTTTGAGAGCCTTGTTTTTTGGGGAGGGTTGTTTTTTGTTTTAGTGATCCAATGACTGATGAGTGTTTCTTGTTATAGATGAGCATGAAAGCATCCACGCAGAAAGAGTGGACAGTGAAATGCTTCCAGAGTATGAGGCAATGCCAGAACACAAAGGGCATGATGGATGTGGGATGAAAGATGAGTATGATTCAGCGGATGAAGATTACGAGACTCCTGAGGGATATAAGCCTTATGATAAGTGGAACAACACATGTGGAGGATATGATGCAGGGCGGGATGAGGTGCCTTATGCCTATCCTTCTTCTTCTTCAGTATATGAACCTCCGTATGGATGCTCTTCCTACACTGCTTATGAGAGGCCTTCTGGATGCAAATCTCCCCTGTTTTGTGCAAAGAAAAACTGTGTGTACTGTAAATATATGGCCTCAGCTGCGTATAAACCACACATAATCTATGAGCCATATGAATCACCATATGGCTGTGAATGTTCTGCTTATGAGTGCCCGTACGATTATGAATTCTCTCTTCCACCATCCGAAGCACAATATGCATACGAAACCTCATTGGAGCCAAAGTCTCAGTATACGAACGACAACTCTCTGTATGAGTGGCAATATGGATGCAAGACCTCTCCATTGTATGATGTGCACTATGCATGCAAGAACTCCCCTGCATTTGAGACGCCCTATGAATATATCTCCTCTACTCTGTATGAATGGCCTGCACAGTCAAAAGAGGTCTCAACTCCTGAATATGAGTGGCCACCTGGTTGGAACAACCTGCAGAAGGAACGTGGCTCCCCTCCTAGGTGCAATGAATTGCATGACAACACAGAGTCACCTTCTGCAGATACCAATAACCCTCAGGACCCAAAGGAGTCCTCTGCTGGGTACAGAACATTTGTTGGAAACAAAGAAGGTCACAGTAAAGGCGCTCACATTAAGGCAGTTCCTGGAAGTACAGAAGCAGGTTTGTCTCCTGATGAGCAAGATGATAATGAACAGGGCCATCTGCCAAATGGAATCAAGAAGCAGGTGCCAGATGGCTCTGATGGGCTCCTGGGCAGTGTGAGGAAATTCCTTGATGGGACAAAAAGGCTTTTATGTAGAGGGAACCAACTTTTCAAAGAGCAAATTTTAGAAGAAGCCAAGTCGACAAATGGGATCAGCCAGTTTCCAAATATCAGCAGCCTACCTCAAAGCAGGATGAGTCACCCGCATGGAAGCCCTGTGTTGATAGACAACTCCAGCTGGCCCAAAGATGAAAAGAATCCATGCATGGACCGTGCAATCCAGCCACTTCATCCAGCAGGAGCCTACTGGACACGAGGGGAAACAGTGCCTCATTTTCCAGATATTTCTAGCAGGTTCCTGGGCAGGTTAAATAGGGGTCCTGGGAGGGGAAATTTCTCACCCTTGCCCTCCCATTCCAGCTGCTCCTATACCTCCTAGACTTAGGAGAACCTTATAAATCTCGGACAGCTGGAGAGATGCATAATATAAGGCAGAAGTGAAATTTTCTCGGTCTCTGTCTCACTCTCTCTTCATGAAATGCTAGGAACATAGACACTGCCTGAAACAAAGCTGGCAAGGTTCTAGAAACTTTGGTTTAAGGACTTTAAGTAGCAATGAGCTTGGAGAGTAGAGGCTCCAGCTGCAAGCTGCAGATTTTGCAGTTTGGAAAGAATTTTCAAATCAGCACCTCCAATGTATCAAATACTTCATTTGCATGGCTTACAGAAATCAGAGGCTATTTCTGATTCAGAACTGGAAGCACTGTGCAGAAATGAAAACAAAGAATCCGGTCGTATAGAAAAGCAAGGAGGGCTGAAGTTGTCAAGTGTATCTATAATAAACTGGGCATGTTAAGAAATTACTAGTGGGTTTACTACAGATAGCAACCACTAGCATACACACTGGATGTTCTCCTCACTCCCTTATTGTTTTCTAACAGTGTGGCAAACAGTGAGAATTAAAATGTGTTGTTGAGACCTGAGGACTGGGAACTTGGGTTGTGATTCAAAGTCAACCACTGTTGATACCAAACTTATGCGGGTGTACTCAGAAGCAAGACCCATTGGCTTAAGTGGAATATATTTCCAAGTTCACTGATTTCAGTTGGAGGGCATCAGCTATATCTTTCCCTGTCCCAGTGTCATAAATGAAACTTTAAAGTATTTTACCAAAGGTGGTTGTGGGTTTTTTTGGGCTCTTTGGCCATGTTCTGAAGGTTGTTCTTCCCAACATTTTGCCAGTCTCTGTGGCCGGCATCTTCAGAGGACAGCACTCTGTGCTCTGATTACGTGGCCACGTATCTGGAATCTAGTGTAGCCCAACTGGAAACTAGCCAAGCATCCTGGTTGTGTCCTTTTATGCGAATGGCTTCTTAGGCTAGTAAATTGTCACTTTTGGTCCAGCATAAAATTAGCTCCATTAGTATTACTTGACTCCATTCAAATGCTTGGACAACAAGCAACTGTACCGTATTGTCCCCAAAACTATATGATATTGAGATACAAGTGCTGTTTTCTCTACCTAATAGAATCAGAGCACAGAGTGCTGTCCTCTGAGCCTAATAGAACCAGAGCACAGGTTGCTGTCCTCTGGAGATGCCGGCCACAGAGACTGGCGAAACGTTAGGAAGAACAACTTTCAGAACACAGCCAAAGAGCCCAAAAAACCCACAACCACCATTAGATCCTGGCCGTAAAAGCCTTCGCGAATACATATTTTACCAAAATCTGTCAATATGATTTTCTTAACCCATGTGCTCTGCTTTAGTTCAACGCCCCATCTAACTCCTGATTAGTAGCTGGCTTTTTTTGGCCTAGAAAAGATCATGCAGAAAGGGATGCAATGTTGAATGGGATTCAAAGAGGATGGAATAAGACGAAGGCTTGTGAAGTGGTGGAGGAGCCCATGTTCCTGGGATTTCTTTCCATCTGGGGTCAAGAGAATCACACAAGCTATCTCCAGTGGAAATCTGTTGCTAATTATATGAGGTCAACAAGAGGTGTGGAAAGAATGTAGAAGGAAACATTTAAGGTAATATGAAAATCCACATTGATGTATTTGTCTCAATACCAACAATAGTGACAAAAAGACGGGAATGGAATAGGTTTGACTCATCCTGACTGTCACAGAGATCTGGATAGAAAGGGCTCAGTGACACTACACAGTGCTTAGTATACAAGAAATCCCATTTTCAGTCCCAGATGCCACCATGGAGACCATAACGTCTGAAACCCTTGGAGAATCACAGCTGTAATGAATTAGAATTGCATTCATAGGACGATCATACCAAAGAAGAACTTAATATAATTGTCTATTACAAACATATAAATTGAGGAACAGCTTCCAGTAGGTCTCCTCTCTTTCTTTTCCTACCTTTACACTCTTTCTCCATGGAACATCCCTAGGCCTTGCTGCCTAAGTTCTCTGTAAGGAAATCTCTCTAACTTTCAATACTCATTAACTACATTAGGTAAAGGTTCCCCTTGACAATTTTTATCCAGTCGTGTTCGACTCTAGAGGGCGGTGCTCTTCCTCCATTTCCAAGCCATAGAGCCAATGTTTGTCCGAAGACAATCTTCTGTGGTCACATGGCCAGTGTGACTTAGACACAGAACGCTGTTACCTTCCCACCGAGGTGGTCCCTATTTATCTACTCACATTTGCATGCTTTCGAACCGCTAGGTTGGCGGGAGCTGGGACAAGCAACGGGCGCTCACTCCGTCATGTGGATTCGATCTTAGAGCTGAAGATCTACAGACCTTACAGCACAGAGGCTTCTGCGGTTTAACCCGCAGTGCCACCACGTCCCTAACTACATTAGTCTTTGTAAATCAGCCATTCACAACTTGATACATACTCTTCAGATGTGTTGGAGTGGAAGTTAAAAACTGAACATGTCCAGAGGGAATTAGGTTGGAAAAGCCTGGCCTAGACAATACTGGATGTATCAGGGGCTTGACTTGGGAAATATGTGGTCCCCCCCCCCCCAAGAATGCATGGATGTCCCCCATGGCCCAGTGATATCCACACACCTTACCCAATACAAATCATCATACTAGGAGCAAATACATATGTACATGTCATGTTAGGACAACACAATTCAGTTTCAAGCCAAAATGACTAACTAAATGGCAAACCCAGGATACTGAAAGGTACAGATGGAAAGGAGGCATTAGCTAGTAATGACCAAAGAATAAATGCACACACAGAGAACAGGGTTTTTTCAGAACCCTAGTTTGTGTTGAGATACTTTATCAAAGTGAGGTTTTCTTGATATTCCCCTATCCATGCCTTTTGGGATTAGAAGGCATAGGTGCCCCACATTTGGAAACAGAGGGTGAACACAAAAAACCCAAACCCATATGCAAAAAAATCAGATTCTCTAGAGCTGTTTCCAATCAAGAAAACTTTCCAGAATGTTTCACAGTAATTATGAATATCAACGTGTGATTGTTAGAGCAGTAATCCAATTTGAAAAACTCAGTCAACTGATTGTGAGACTGTTATTGATCAATCAGTTAAAGTTGCCTATGTCTATATGCAAGAGTAATTATTCTAAATGGGAAAGCCATTTTTTTCTTATAGAAAGATGTATCAGGCCATACCTTATCCTGAAAATGTTTATTGCAGTAATTTATAAATAAATACTTCATTTCTGTACATGCTTACATGTTACAGCAGCTCTAATCAAATATACATTCCCTATTTCTACAAAAGGGAATGCTTCTTCTAAGATGGTCCCTGCCATCAGCTACTATTATAAATAGTTGTATAAAAACAGCATAGTTTAAAAAACTGCCACCCAATTCATCAGAAGCACCTTTTCAGTTAATTGCAATGGTAGAATACAGCAAAGGCTCACAGGTTTGGGGAGCTGGAACTTCCAAATGAGCATGTGCTTTTCTTACAGCAACAAGGGGCATCATGTCTCCTTTGCTCTTTGTGTGTTTAAAGCTAAGCCTTTGGCCCAGCTACTATATGATATTTCCATGTGGACCAATGCATACAATCTTGCTGTAACAAAAGTACAAGTCACCTTTTTGCATCATATTTTGGGTGTTACTACTGTAGGATACCTGGCCGCGTATCTGGAATCTGGTGTAGCCCAACTGGAAACTAGCCAAGCATCCTGGTTGTGTCCTTTTATGCGAATGGCTTCTTAGGCTAGTAAATTGTCACTTTTGGTCCAGCATAAAATTAGCTCCATTAGTATTACTTGACTCCATTCAAATGCTTGGACAACAAGCAACTGTACAGTATTGTCCCCAAAACTATATGATATTGAGACACAAGTGCTGTTTTCTCTACCTAATAGAACCTGCTCCCCTACTGTAAATGGTATGTTGACAGTTTATGAGGCAGTTGCAATTATTTAATAACTACACCCCAGGCTCATAGAGCATTTATAGTTGCTACATTTATTATTTTGTCTTTATCATTACTCCAGGGTAGATCTTTGGGAATTCCCCATTGGGACAGAGAGTGCCTACGCATGGCAGAGGCTTCTGAATTTATGTCTCATGTCCTATATTGTTCTGTGAACAAATAAGAAACAATTTAATCTGCCACTTCTTGCAAAAATATCAAGGTTATCCTGATAAGTGGTCGGTAATCTATTCTCTGTTGGACCAGAATTCTTATGTTGCTGCTCAAGTTATGAATTTTTTTCCTGGCTGTAATGGAAAGAAAGGTCTACTTATTGGAGGATTCTTGGAACTTCTCTCTCTCTCTCTCTCTCATTGTGTATAAATTGGTTGGTGTGTATTTGACCAACAAACTCCCTGCTACTACAGATGAGCAGGAAGGCTGATGTAATATTTTACTTCCCTGATCTTTCTGAGCTTAGTTACAACTCTCACTGGATTTCTCCATCAACATAATATTGTTGAATATTCTTGTCACAATGTAAACGATTTTGATGTGGTGTGGTCTTGAATAGACAATTAACAGCCATTACCTTTATGCTAATGCTGGTAGACAGGAACTCTGCTCAGATACGATTTTTGCAAAATGTACACAGTTCCATGAAGATTTCAGTTCTCCAGGGGAGCATAATTATGAAGACCATTATTATGATATTTCTACTTGAATGTTTATCACTGCACCACTGGTCAATCAAAATATTTACAATTGCTTATTTTAAGCTACTGCAATAATATGCATATCCATCCAGAAGTAAGCCATGATAAAAAGTAAATCAAAAGGACTTTGTCCAAGATAAATGAGGGTATAACTACAGCCTTGTTCTAGTCCTAATAGTCATAGGTATCAGAATGCTGGATGTGATAACAGTAACACATATAAAATAATTTCTTAATATCCGCTCCCCTGAGGCCTATGATTAATTTACAACCAGACTGGAGAACCTGTGGCCGTCTAGATGTTGCTGGAATCCAAGTCCCATCAACTGAACCAAAAGATGGGAGTAACAGTTCACCAATATCTGGAAGGCCAGTTTCCTTAGCCTTGGTTTATAATCTGCCCAAGTGACAAATACAAAGCAGTGACATCATAATTAGCTTGAGGTTCCCATTGGCTGCTGATGTTCAACAAAGGAATGTGATGGTAGATTGCTTCAACATTCCTTTCCCATTCCCTTCTCAAGTTTCCACCAGGCAGCAGCAACTGTGCCTGTGCAGGTGTAAACAGACACCTGCAAGCCCTTAGAGCTATACCCACCATGCAGCCAGGACAGTTTCTCCTTATACAGTAAGGTATGCCTTAGTTCTGTATTTGGTAGTTGGAGGGAATTTCAGAGCAGCTAGTCTATTTGGTGGGGTGGAGGATGATGGCAGAGCTGTGTCACTGATTGTTCATACCCCCTTACCAATTTCATCCAACATAGCCACTGGTGAGGAATTATGGAAGTAATAAACAAACGGAGGCCAAAAGTTCTCCAGTCCTGTTACTTAAAATTAGGAGTAGTTCAGTCACTTTTCACACTAACATCAAAATCCAGCACAGCTTCTACCACTTCACTATACAGTATATTGAAATCCAACAAGATAAGCTCACTAGGATGACAGAAGCTGTGGAGAGAGAGAGAGAACGCTCAATCAGACAGGGTTTGTCCCATTGTTTGGTGTGCTGCCAGGACAGTTGGTTCACTTATTTTTCTGGCAATCAGATGACATAATTGCTACAGCAAATTAATCTATCTCCAGAACACCTTTACCTGCACTGTTCTGAGACCCTGTCAGGGGCTTCTACTTTTTTAAGGTTGGGTAGGTTCACTCTAGTTTGGTCTGTTTCAAGTGCATGCAATCACTGGGAACAGACCAAGACATAAGCCTTAAGCTGTCAAGGCTTCTTCTTCTGCTATTTCCAATATCATGAAGTGGCTTAATAAGCAAACCACTTCTGCATATCAGCAAATTAAACACTTCCCTTGCTCCTTGGCAGAGGAGCAGGGGAAAAGAAATTATTTTTTACTCTGCTAGACCATCATTGACACGCTACATCACTTAGATTAAATTTAAATAAATTGTCTGCCTTGTCTGAATGCCGATTGAAGAAACTGCCCGCAAACAGCTGTGGGCAGTTTCTTGACTGGTACTTTAGACAAGGCAAGGAAAAAATATTTCTAAAATTTAATAAGTGATGCAACACATCAGTAATGGTCTAGCAGAGTAAAACACACACACACACCACTTTCCCCATCCCTCTGCTGAGGAGCAGAGGAAGTGTTTGATTTGCTGATATCCTGAAGCGGCTTGCTTACTTCAGAATATTGGAAATTAACAGTAGAAGGAGCCAAACTTAATAGACTTACTTGAGGGCTGTATGTCATTTGGATGTGAGGATCACACCAAATGGTGTATCACACCTCCACCTTACCTCAGGTGACCCTATTTTGACCACACTAGCCTGCTTCAAAAGGGCCAGCATAGATAAGCCCAGAGTTGGTAATCTAAAAAAATAATATTTACAATTTTGTAGGTACCTTTGCTTTGTATTGAGATGCTTTTGTTATATGAGCCCACTTCCATTCATTTGCCTTGGAACTTGGGAGAGGTTAATGTATATCCAGCTGGCATGTATTCTTCCATATTTATTTATTTATTTATTTTAT